GATTGCTGGAATTCGATGAAACGGGTTACGTAATGTGTGGACCGGACATGAAGAGTTTGCATAAGTTCGGAGAATAATGTAAATGACAATCTATGAATGAAGTAGGGATTTTGATGTACACAAAATCAGAATTAGTTTACCGAAGATCATAATAACCAAATAAACATAAATAAAATAATCACAATAATGATGATAATGACAAAAAGTAATTCGCTAAGGTATCGATAATTCTATTTTCGTCTCTTTCTGAATAGGTAAATCAGGTTTAAACTTTTTATTGTTACTGCTCCGTCTGTTAATAGTTTTGAAGACATGTGTAATGCTGAAAGCACGCCCTGTGTCAATTAACTTCAGAGCTACTGCACTGTTTAGAGCCGCTGCTACTCTCTTTGGAACGTCCATGAAAATGCAACCACGTATTCTTCTTTCTGTTCTTTCAATATGTTCGCTTTAGCACGTACATGTAAATTCATAAATCCTGATTTATCTGAGCTTGAGAACAGCAGCAACTCTAAATAGGTTAGAGCAGGATTTACTTTACACGAATCGATTTCTCACTTACATCTTTCGATGATTTATTTTACAATCGGAAACGACCATGTGTGGCCGGCAGAATATTTTATTACATCGTTATTGAAAAGAGAAGTATCAAACCTTCGGTTTCAGAAAAATCCGAAATTCGTTGGACTCTAATTTTCCCTTTAAAGGTGCAAACCTTTCAATTTTAGTTTTACCGATCAAAAATTACACATCGTTTTATGGTACGACCCGTCGAATAAAAGCGAAGGCCATTCAATAATGAACCGAATTTCAGTCACCGTGAGTGGGCTATCCACACTGAGATTAAAGGATTTGTGAGTGCTCTGAACACAAATTTTTATTAACCAATGGAGACTATTCTGTTAAATAAGTCCAGAACTTCACTGTTGATCATCGATGGGTAGATAGTTGCTCACGTCGTGAAACATTCTTATGCTTACACCCAGATAGAAAATGTTAAGTCGCCAGATGCTGTAAGCAATCCAAAACACATTATTACATCTGAGTAACTGTGATAAGAAGTGGATAGATTCACACAATACAAAATAGTTGGGTTGATTTATAGTGTCGGTTATTATGTTAAGCCCATATACCTTATACTAGCTTTCGAAAAGCTCAATCTATCCATTCTACTCGAGTCACATTGTGACCATGTCAGTTATTCGCTTATCAACCTTGACTGTTTTTATATGAGCGCGTAGATGTGTGTACACTTCTTATCCCATCACTCATAACATGTCTGTAACTTATTTTTTGTGACCATAAATATTGAATAATGTTTGGTTAAAAGGGAGTTGGCTTACCCGCCCTCCATACTGCACGTCGTTTCGCTTCTCACTATTCCACTCGCTTCATGTAAAAAATATATATTTCCATAGGTCCATTCCCGTTATATGACTTATTTAATTCCGTTATTGACTAACACGATTTAAGTCAATGATTATATACGAGGATAGGAAATAACAAACATTCATATGATTTACTTGGAATCAGATCTTTGGCCACTAAAGTGGAGAGCCCTTCGACGATCATCATCCGATTTAAATGACGACAAAATAAAAGGCCCCACAGATTTTTATAAAAGAAATAAATATTTAATGAAGAATTATTATGCTAGTTGCTTGCATAAATAGCTATTAGGTACATTTTCGACAAGCTGTGGAATCGCTAGTTTAAACTTTGCATTCTCTGTTGATATCACTTACTTCAACCACTCATTAAGATTCTGTTTTATGCAGAACTCGACAAACTAAAAAATATGCATGATGTAACAAGACTAGAAAATAGATTTTCTAAAATTATTTTCAACTTTTTGCTACAGAAGATAAATAAAACAGGTGATGATGGATAGATAGTAGTATATTTGAGCGTAGGCGGAGGAAGAGGAGATCGGGACTTGTAAGCTGGCTATGTAGAGTCGAGGAACTGCTACACCTAGGTTCATGATGTCGTTTATCAAAGATTATTGACGAAGCATCTTCAGCTAGTACTCTCTGTTTTGATTAACAATGTTGATATCACTACTGATCGATCACGGAAGTATTCGTTTCACTGAATTATTCACTACAACAGGAATATCATGTTAATGCTAAAAAAGAAGACGATCTATTACAAAACGACATCTCTTCAGAACTACCAATAGTATCCTTTGGCGGCTCTCTCAATGCCCATTCTGTCAACAATGAAATTGAGGGTACAGATTCTCAGTACCATACCTCTCTCAATTGTAACGAATAGTCTTCGGTTATTTCGAACCCAAAAAATCGCTCTAATAAATTCTTCCGCATTGAAATCTTTCCAGCGCATGTTCCAAATAATAGATTATCTGATATTTTTTAGTAAACAAATGGGAGTCAAAACCCCATAATGTTCAATGGTTTTTTTTAGGAGAGCTGAGTGGCATGTGTCAGTCTTGACAATGGTGATCTCTCGGTTGATCTAACTTTCTTTCGAAGGCATTGACAGATGGAGCTTCAAACATGTGTTGAAGCGATGAACCCTAATCATTGATGACTTAACGAGAAAGTCGATAGTCAGCTGACGTGTAACCTGTTCCGCACTTTTGAACTATTTTAGTATCTTTGATAATTCTATGTTTTGGGAGACAAGAAAACTTGTCGTTAGATAATTTAAGTCTGTGATAGAGTCACCTCTGGTTGTTGTATGCGACAAAAAAATGGATTTACTTTGGTCAGTCTATTATCACACTGAGGCTTTGTGACTCCGGGGATCAGCTTAGTTGTGGTTCTTTGAACCTTTTTCAGAAGCTCACTGTTTCTTTTTGGACAGCGACTGGCCGCTTTGCGTACTAACCATAGGGTCAGTACGATCAAGATATAAGAAACACGCTTGTTGAGATACTTTGTACTGAGAATTGCACCAAAATATGATTATGAATAAAGCCATAATAATAATTAACCTTGTATGTATATGTACCTTGGTTACCAATATGCATTATTAAATGTATCTTCAAACCTCACTTCTGACTTTTGATTACACTGAGTAGACACGACTCATGTATAAGTGTTACTGGTTGAAGTGTTGTCAAACTAAAAATAGCTGTAGCATCTCCATTGGTGAGCCAACGTGGTCTGGAACACCAACTTACAAACTGTCTGTTCCTTTTTGGAATTCCGCATATCATTGCCTTATTTTAACCTTTATATATTGTGATATTTTTCTGCGATATTCGATTTTTTCCTCGTTCATTCCTGTACTTCATATTAGCCATGACGGAACAGACACTTAAGGTACTTCAGTTAAAGACTATGACTCCACCGTCATTTCATCTAAAGCCCTTGTGGCTGGACAACACCGAAGCCTGGTTCTTCTACGAAGAGGCCGACTTCTACGAGCACGGCGTGCACAATTCCTCGTATAACCAATCTCCCATGAGTGCAGACGACATTCTTAATACCGCCCTCATAACCCTTTCTCGACTCTACGAATTTTCGCGCATTCTTCTCGACTCGAGAAATGCTGCACAAACTTTCGACCGGTTCATCGACAACGTCTTTCTGTCTCAACTTCTTTCATGCGTATGTTGATGACTGATTGATTGGAAATCTGGAGGGAGAATCTCATCTCCAGAATTCGGACCTTGTTTTTGAAGGACTCTACATACGCACCATCGCTGTACACACTCTCAAATGTGAAATCGGTGCCAACTCCGCAGACTTTCTCGGACACACTATTGATGCTCAACGTATCCTTCCTCTTAAAAGTTAATTGGAGGCCTAATAGGTTTATATAGACGGTTCATACCGAATTATTCTTCTCTTATGCGACCCAACTTCCCGGAATTGCGAAAACCATCATTTTGGACGACGGTACGAAAACATCATTCTTCATAGCAAAGGATTTTATTGCCAAGGTAGCATGACACTGAAGTACTCGGTAATATCGTAGTAGACGTGCCTGATTGGACAGCCGGAAGATTCTAACAATAATCAATGATGAACAACTGGCAGCCTTTGGCATTCTTCGTGAGGCAGTTTCAAGACACTGAATCAAGGTATAGCACTTTCGATAGGGAACTCCTTGCCATTTATTGTGTTGAACCGAACTTTCAACACTCTGTGGAAGGCCAAGAATTATCTCTTTTCTCCGATCACAAACCTCTGACATCCTCTTTAAGCTCATTTTTAGACGCGTAATGCTCAACAACTGGACTAAATTTCTCAGTTTACTTCAGATATACGACAAATTACTCGCGCAAACAATGTACTTTCAGACTGCTTGCATCAAAAATCTTCCTTGAACAGTTTTCAAGGAATCAACGTTCGTAAACCCGCCAAGCTTCATGGCACTACTCACAGGGTGTTGACAGTGTGGGTATCAACAATTGCTTTTTTCACTGTCCAGCTCTCAAGGATTTTCAAAAGAACGGAACATAAAGACACACAGAAACAAGAAGTGGTGGCCTAAAGAAAGTAAAACACTGTAAATTTGCAAATCCAAAAGCGCAGAAATTAAAAAAACCAGTATGCTGAAAGAGTACAGATGATAGATTACTATTGAAAAAGCAATATTCTTGTTATTGCTTTAGATGAGATCAGCAGTTTCGAAGGGCAATTGACTATTAAAACTATAAAATTAACTCAACTAGGAAAAATATCACTGTCCTCTAGAGGCAGAGCGGTCACTTCGTGTGATTTAGTTAAGATACTGTATTTATATCGTTGAACATTAGCAAATACTCAAAACAACTTCTGAAAAAGGCAGACATAAACGGAAACTTATCGGTGATGCTAGTTGATCATTTACAACTTGTACATTGCATGCAGACGGCTAGCACCTGATTAAAAAAGACAGTGAGCTTTTAGTAAATGTTCAGAGGATGGCAACTAAGCTGATTCCTGGAATAGCGAGGCTTCCGTATGATGCTCGACTGGTTAATCTAAACCTATTCCCGCTGTCATATCGAGGTGAGTTGACTACAGTTTTAAAATTGCTAATTGATAAATTTGCACCTGATATGCCCTTATTTTTCTTGCCTTCCTAAACAGAATTTACGAGGACACTCCAAAGAAGCTCACAAGCCCAGAACAAATTATTTGTCAGCTGACCATCGACTTTCCCACCGAATCATCAACGAATGGAATTCATTACCCCAGCACGTAATCGACGTTCCATAAGTCGACTCTTTCAAAAAACGTTGGATCAACTGAGAGACCATCAGCTTCCTGTCCTTTCCAAACTGAAACTGAAATTGTAACCTGTATAACCTTGAAGAGCCTTGGTAGATATAGAAACACGTACATGACGTTTTTAAAAATGCCATATAGAATCTATCTGTGTGATATTAAATTTATTATTCATTATGTAGAGCTTAAAGTGAAAATCTTATGTTAACTTTATAGATATGCGCTCCAGGAACACGTTTAGCATGCGATAATCACCTTTATTTGTTGATTGAGCTTTTCAATACAATGAAAAGGACTAAATCGTTCTTACCGTGTTTTCCTTTACTTGTAGATGAAGCCTTCATTTTCAGAGCAATATTTTTGTCTGGACGTCGTAATTTGAAGCCAAATGATGTACTTAATGGTTAGTAACTAAGTTCTAAGATAACATAACAGGTTGTAAAATTAACATACAGCTTTGTGAAGACCCTGATGATTCTGCAATAGTAAAGTCGCTGGCTTTCTATTCACGTGATGCATATGACTTTTTTGGTGAGATTAACAGAGAGAGACTGCGTACTCCTAAAGCTAGAGAGATATTTCTGAGAAGAACCATCAACTTTCCAGTAAGTTTTGTGATACGTAATCCTTTTGAGATAATTTTCCATTTCACAAAAGATTTGTTGAACGTGTTGTTTTTGTTTCAAACTTTAAAGCTTGGTTGGCACAGCTTTAGCCCGAAAAAAGCATGTCTTGTGACGGTCGTAAAAAAACTTTACAAATATAGGACTGTATCGCTGAATCTAATGTCCTACCAAATTACGGTAGTTCCATTTTTTCCTTGCCTTTTTTCCCGATACCTCACGGTCAAAACACTAAGGCTTTTAAGTGAGCATCTAAATAAGGACATATTGTTTGCCTATTTGTGAACAGTCAAATAATGGTACCCAAAAATTGAGGCAAAGTTAAGATCGAACATATTTCTTTAAGTAACCAAATCCCGTTTTAAATGACTTTGTTGAGCCAAGAGTAAATAGAACGTATCTGGTCTCAACTTCAAAGAGTGTATCATATTTTCTATGGATGATCAGAGCTTATCCATCGTTTGAGTTCATTAGACTTAATGGAGTATAAGCCAACCAGAGGAATTCCGTTACATTTATTTTCTCAGAAATCCTTTTTTCAGAGGTATTTACATGAAAATTAAGTAGTGGTCAGACAAATGACAGCAGATATTTTTCTATTAAGTTTGTTATAAATAAAACAGAAATCTTTGTGTTACTTCTTATACATATTTCACTCTGGAAACCTGGAGTTGTGATCATAGTTAATCGTGACTCGACGCTCACTCCACTATACCAATCACGTTTTTTTCATAAAGGTAGGTCACTATAAACCCATCAGAACTAAAGACTTACATTTACATGTTTTAGGACTTTTCCAAATTTGAAAAAGCCGGGTATATACAAAAGCCGACATCCAACTAGAATAAAAAAAATAGACAGTCTATAAGAATTTTAATAGCTGGAACATTTTTAGCATGACAATTATTAACATAAACAAAATCGTACGATTTCGTGGCCAAATAAATATATTTTTCAAAGACTTCTAACTGATTTAACAAATATACAATGCTTTACATTACTCTCGTACCATAATCTCAAGTATAAAATTAGTGTGCTAACCAAGAATTTCAGAAATAGTGAAATTAATGGCAGGTAAAACTGGATGAGAATAATTGGACGTATATTTTCCATATTTCTGTCCGTCAGTGTATATGATATAGACTGTATGATCTAGAATGTACTCACTAGAATTGGAATTAACAAACAAAATTGAAACAAACTCACCTGGTTCCTGGAATTGTGTCTGATCAACATGTCGGTTGTGTGTACTTAAATCATTGATATTTAGAATTCAAACTATAGGTTTTCCGAAATTCTTCACATCGATTCTCTTGACTGATTGAAGATCATTTCTACGATAATATGTAACATCTGCAGACTCTCAACACCTCACATTCGAATGCGGAATCCTTGCTTTTATTAGCTTTAATGTAGTCTTTTTCGTTACAGAGTGTTTATCATCTCTATATTGCAGTAAAAATTTGTCCAATCTCCTCTCTAGTTCATCAAAGATTGAGGCAGCAAAGAAATTAATGGCATTTTTTAGTGCTCTGACAAATCTTTCTGCCTAACCATTAGAACAAGGGTGCCCGAAAGCAGTGGACAGATATCTGCAACTAATACCAGTCAGCTAGGTACTGACTGTGTCTGCAGCAAAACGAGATCCATTATCAGTCACTAATCCTTAAAGGCCCTCTTTGAACTGAAAACGTTTTTTAATGCTTGGATCGTGAGGTAAGAATCCAATTAATTTGGAAAACGAAACTCAGGTCAATCAAAAAAAGAATGAATGACAACAAGTGCATAGTATCTACCGAGAAATGGACCATGCCTCAGACGATACTGGTGATAAAGTTCACTTCAAAGGGCGATTTTTCGACTTACAACATCTTTAATAGTTGTTTGCTGTATGATATATATCTGCATTTATCTCCGTCCAATAACATGTGAGTCTTGCGAAGGATTTCATTTACATAACATACTAATGTCTAATATGAAGATCTTCAAAGACAGGTTTGAGTAATGAAGGGGAAATAACAACACAATCGTTTAAGCAAAATATGCCATCAGAGGCATTGAATAACTTATTGCGCTCTGGAAAATAGACAGGAAATCTACGTTTCAGATTAGCATGGCATCATTTTCACGTAGCACTGAGTAAGATCACTGACTACGTTATTCATCACTTCCTGAAATATGTTTGGAGAAAAACTTGAATCAAATGAGAGGAAGATGTATTTGAGTACAGCGAAACGAGTGTTAATTATTGTAAAAACAGATGAAGATTGACCTAAGGAAGTTTGAAGATAAGCAACATTTAAGCCAACGTTCAACAATACCTTAGAACCATGAGGTCGATTACAAATATCTTCAACTTCCCCCACTGTGCACGTTTGCTTTAAAAAACAAAATTTCACTGTTGATCTATAATCACCACACATCCTAGACGTCTTGTTATCAGACTTCAATGGCGTAACAATAGTAGTGCTTCATGCCGAAGACGAGATCTGTTTAATCATACTTTTTGCACACAAATCGTTCAAGGTCTTTTGTACTACATCTTGAGGACCATAAGGAATTATTCGTCTTTTAAGAAAGATTGGATCACCTTGTACTTTAAGTTTTATAGAATGAATTCTCATCTCTCCCTTGTATTTAACACACACAGCTATCAAGGCTTTAAGTAAAGCATGAGAATTCTTTTACGTACTAGTAAACACATCTCTATTTAAAAACTTTCCGAGTTGTTCAAACCTAGTATTGACGGTCTTGTTTCACTAACTAAAAACTCACAAGGTTTGTTTGAAGAATTATTGTCTCCCATTAGCAGTTTACAACATCTTCGTACGGGAATTTGTGTCCAGTAATCTTTGATACTGAGACTTCAATGGGTAGCACTAAAACGTTATAATCTAAAAATTTCAAGTTCTTGAAAGAAATAGCCGACCCCGTATTACCTGTTTCAACAATAAAATCATGGTATGAACTAAGGGATATCTATAATCGCTTCTCAATATGTAAATTACCCTTCAGAATCGTGGATAAAGATAAATGATCATTGAAAACATCCAAATTAGTCAAAACCAAACTACGGCGTTTATCATCACTAGCGGCAAAACAAACTGTAACTTAACAGACCGACTTGATGGGTTCCATTTTACCACACTTAAAGCATTTTGCATGAAAAAGGACATATGAATTACATAAATAAAGTCTACCACATGATAAACATTTGCCAAACCTATGATCACCTCTATAACCTGCATTCTAATCCATTGTTGAATCATTTTTTCATATCTCCACAAGAATGCGAACCATTGTAGGTTTCATAACAACACTAATTAGACTCAGTAATAGTAATAAACGTACTATATGAAAGAGAAGTTCTTAGATTCATCCAAAGCCCACTTTAGTAGCTAAATATAGACCAGTCCTTGAAGACAAGTCAAGACAGTAAATGTAATTAAAACTATTGTATTAGAAATAGGATAAAGCCACTGGAAGCGTATAAAGCAATTATTATTTTACACAAACATCAAAGAGTTTAATTCATTTTTGTATTAGTTGTTTGAGTTCTCTCACGAATGTTTAGGACTGCAATCGATCAATCCCTTATTGATATATGTACATCCTGTGGGGATTGCCTCGATATTGCTCTAAATCACAAGCATTATAAGCAGAGATGGATAGTGGCCAGTAGTGGACTATAGGACACGTGTTTCATTCAGCTTGGGACTCGTCAGCTGGATATACCTCCATCTCAGAGTTAATGCTCATCTTTGGACTCGAATCCAATACTGTTCGTGATGTATTGCATTAATAGCCACCATCCGTCTATGCTCATAATGCTTGTGACTTAATGCAATATCGAGGCAATCCTCACAGGATACACATATATCAATAAGAGATCAATCGATTGTAGTGGTAAACATTAGTGAGAAGATTCAAATAACCAATACAAAAAATGAATTAAACTTCGTCACATCGCACGAACTAATGGCTACCTGTCTTCAGTAGCGATGACGTTCGAAGCAAATGATACTGGGTACATTCAGCTGACAAGTCCCAAATAGAACAAAACATGCATTCTGGATTCCACTATAACCAGCAAATTAAACATTAAAGAACTTTGAATCGGCTGATTGATTCCATTCTAAGTATTATTACACCTCATAAAGCTGAATTCTAACAGTTTTGTGTTCTTATCTTATCAGTAAACATACTATAACCAAAAAAGATCCCCATTACGTCATTTTCATCAATGTGTTAGTTTGTACAACTAAATTCTTGAAATGAACTATATTGTTTAAACAGACAAGTAAAATAATCATTAGTCAATTTCAAATTTAATATTACACAACTTTTAACTAAGTTTAATTGATTCAAATAACTAATACTAACTATTCTTTTAAAGGGACCACCTATTAGAATGAAATTTACTACAATAACATTCATAAAAGAAATTCAAGTTCAACATAATAGTCAACTTGAAAAGGTAAGTAAGTGTTGTAATAATGTCATATCAATAACCATTTAAGACCATGATTATTTCAATAGCTATTTACCTACAGTTACAAATAGTTTCCAATAACTCCCTTGATATGACTCTGTTTTTGTTTTTGTTTTTTTGGATAAACGATTGATGATGCTATAAATATAGACCTTCTGTTTACTTTCATATGCTACTCCTGAACTAATACCGTTTTAAGCAATGTCACTAATAAGAAGTTAAAGACGAATTCAGTTGAATGAATTTATTTCAGGTATTCTTCTACTTAAACAGACATTTAAAAATAAGAAGCCGGAAAGAGAGGTGAACCAGAAAAGGTAAGCATCTCAACACGCCTATCCTACTCATTACAAATGATAATATAGCTCAGACTAGGTAATACATAATGTAACAAAGATAAACATTTAATGAAATATTGAATGATGGATGTACACAAAAGTACATGAAAATCAACTACAAGGGCATAAATATAGAACGTATATATATATATATATATATATATATATATATATATATATATATATATATATTACTCCTGTTACGCCAAATGGAGCATAGAACGCCGACCAGCAATCTACAACCTACTCTGTCCTGGACCTTCTTTTCTAGTTCTATCCAATTGTTATTCATTTTTCTCATGTTTGTCTATCTCCATTTCCCGGTGTAATGTGTTCTTTGATCTTCCTCTCCCCCTTTGACCTTGAGGATTCCATGTGAGGGCTTGTCTTGTGACGCAGTTGGGTGATTTCCTCAATGTGTTTCCTATCCACTTCCAGCGCATCTTCCTGATCTTTTCCTCCACTGGGATCTGATTTTTTCTCTCCCACAGTAGGTTGTTGCTAATAGTATCTGGCCAACGGATATATATATATATATTGAAGGTTACAATCCCCTATAAAAAGAATACAGTATTTGTATATACCAGTAAGAGACAGTTAAGTTTCAGTTCTAAACATCAATGAAAAGATTCAAATAAACAACAATATTAAGTGAATTATCTAAACTACTTCTTGATAAACTGTTATAATTCTGCCTTATTATTATAACCCATCTATTCCTATGGCTTCGGAGAACAACAATCCAATCACTCTTGATGGCGAAACTCTGGAAGACGTGGAATCCTTCACATACCTGGGAAGCATCGTCGATAAACGAGGAGGTTCAGATGCAGACGTCAAGGCAAGGATTGGCAAAGCTAGAGCGGCATTCCTTCAACTGAAGAACATATGGAACTCAAAACAACTTTCAACCAATATCAAAGTCAGAATCTTCAATACGAACGTCAAGGCAGTTCTACTGTACGGAGCTGAAACTTGGAGAACTACAACAACCATCATCAAGAAGGTACAGGTATTTATTAATAGCTGTCTACGCATGATACTCAACATCCATTGGCCGCATAACATTAGCAACAGCCTACTATGGGAGAGAACAAACCAGCTTCCAGCTGAAGAGGAAATTAGGAAAAGACGATGGAAATGGATAGGACATACATTGAGGAAATCATCAAACTGCATTAAGAGACAAGCGCTAACTTGGAATCCTGAAGGGAAGCGGAAAAGAGGAAGGCCAAAGAACACATTACGTCGGTAAATAGAAGCAGATATGAAAAGGATGAATAAGAACTGGAAAGAGCTTGAAAGGATTGCCCAGGACAGGGTTGGATGGAGAATGCTGGTGAGCGGCCTATGCTCCTTCACGAGGAGTAACAGGCGTAAGTAAGTAAGTAATTCCTATGGCTTAGTATTCTTGGACATCAATTCACTCGAAAAGTCCCTAAAATTAAAACACGATTGAATAGGAAAAAGAGATTATATTTCAAATAACAAGGTTAGATGGAAGTAAGAAGCACAATAGGAAAACCGTTAGTATATTTATAGTTTTTTACATAAGAAGATCCTAGAGTGTTTTTCAAGTATCGACTAGCGCTGATTGAATAAGAATTAGCCAATCAGCGTGCAGCAAAGCAATCGTGCATTGAGCATGCTTTAATCCAATCTATTTCCCGCTAACACTTTCTCGTTGATCAGATTTGTAGGATCTGGTGTTAGGGTCCAACTGCAACCGAGTGACTGTCCAATTCTTAGTTCATTATTAAACTATTCAGTTTGTCAGTGGTTTTTATTTGAATTTCAGAGAAACAATTAATTTTAATATCAGAAGGGGTTTTGTGGAGATTGTAGTAATTTCAATAGTTGAGATTATGAGTCAATTGAAGCTAAACCACCATGGAAAACCTGGAAGCACTGGACGGCCGTTTCGTCCCATTGTATGACTCTCTAGATGTGGTCTAGTTGGTTAAGCGCCTCGCGCGAGACCGGTAGGTCCTGGGTTCGAATCCCACGAGGCAGGGTCGTGGATGCGCACTGCTGAGGAGTCCCACAATAGGGCGAAACGGTCGTCCAGTGCTTCCAGGTTTTCCATAATGGTCTACCTTCAATTGACTCATGATCTCAACTATTGATATTAATTTTAACTAAAATTTCATAAAACTAATTGACATTTAAACTTCTTATACTACTCATCCTGATAATCATTACCAGATAATGCCCCCCCTCCCAACAGTGTATAAATCAGAAGACAAATACGAAGTATTGATTACATTTATGATCGCACTACATACAGATCATCAAAACCATAGGCATACAAAGCAAGAATGATGTATGAGTGCTGAAGAGCAAGTGAGCCAGTGAGTAAGTCAATGAACAGGATTAAAATGTATATAGGAAAATGAATGATTTATCAAATCGTTTTCGCGAATAATACTAAAGCCAGCCGAATGAATGTGCACAAAGGTCGTAAACCTTACTTCAGCATACATGTTCATAAAAGTGTAACAATAAGGAAGGTACAATGGTATAAGTTACTGTTGTTGTTCTTGTTGTTGTTGTTCTTGTTGTAACTTACAGGTTCTAGGAGCTTTTGAAAGGCACTCTAAAACTAGTGATTGGTTCATTCATAATAACAAAGTATAATCCGGTTTTGTATCTAGATTTCTCTTAGAGATTTCAAAAGACCTAATGATTGATGAAAGTATTTTCAGTAATCTAAAGGATTTGGGAAGCTATTTACTGGGGTGATTATCTAAGTTTATAGGAAACATACTCCTATGAATAAACTTAAACAGAATCATGGATGCTCACTGCTGAGGAGTTCCATACTATGACGAAATATTCGTCCAGTGCTTTCAGGTTTTTCATAGTGGTCTATCTTTAATTGACTCATGAATTCAACTATAGTAGTAAATATTTGATTTATTGTAGTTATGAATTGTTCATTAGTGTACACTGCTGATCTCAAACAGAAACTAAACCCAACACCTGTAAGCGTCATGAAATGTACTTTTAATCGGCTTTACACTACGATGAAGCATCAGTTCACTATACTCAAGTTCAAAATGCCTTGTGTGGATGAGAGAAAGTGACTAGTGGTCTACTTAAACAAACTGGTAGATAGTCTGATAGGCATAAGATTTGTCAAGCGAATTACATGTTCTCAAAACGAGTTGTGTCGAAGTACAATAGAATCGTGTTCGTAGGGTATCCGATGTAAAGTGAGTGAATTGTGTATGCAGATAAATCGTTCAGTGCTCATCCTAAGCAAATTACTATCCATTTAGTGAAAAGGAGAAATCTGAGTGTTAATTTGTTTATTCTGGTTAGTGATTTTCAGAAAATTTATTTTCTACGGAATACGGTTGCTGACCCTACTTTTTCACTCGGGCTTGAAACCGACAGTAACCCTAGGAGAGTTACAGGCCTTAACATACACAAGGGAAAAACAAAGATACCCAAATAAAACACGGGGAACTTTAACCAATTCACACTTGATGGAGAAGCTCTGGAAGATGTGGAAACCTCCACGTACCTGATGAGTATCATTGATTATCAAGGAGGATCTGATGAAGATGTCTAGGTAAGGATTGGCAAGGCAAGGGCAGCATTCCTACTCTTGAACACCATATGGAACTAAAATCAAATGTACACAAGCCAATATCAGTCTTAATATTCAATACGAAAGTCAATACAGTTCTACTGTATGGAGCTAAAACTTGGAGAACTACTACATTCATCATCAAAATGGTAAAAGTATTTATAAACAGTTGTCTACACAAAATACTTAATGCCCGTTGGCCGGATACTATGAACAACACCCTACTGTAGGAGAGAACAAACTAATATCCAGTTGAAAAGAAACTTAGGAAAAGATGATGGAATTGAATAAGACATACATTACGGAAATCATAAAACTATATCAACAGATAAGCAATAACTTTAAATCTTGAAAGTAAACAGTAAAGAGGGAAGCCAAAGGACACAATACGTTTGGAATTGTAAACAGACAGAGTTCAACAGATAATGCTGGTGGGTGGCCTATGTTCCTCTACGACATGGGGTAACAGGCGTAAGTAAGTAAGTAAGTAAGTAAGTAAGTAAGTTTCACAAATAATCTCAGACTTTATTACTTATCTATCATTTATCATATACAGTTCAACCAACTGATCAAAACTGTTTTCTTTTTTCATCTTTTCTAATGAATAGCTACTAACAAGTAACAATTTAATGATACCAGATTAGTAAGTTTCTATTAGGATATTCTATTTAATAAAATTACTATCTATGTATTAATCAATTTATCCAGTTAAGAAGTGGTCAATGTAAGTAAGATCACCATGAGAAACCTGGAAGTACTGGATGGCCGTTTTGTCCTAGCATAAGACTCTTCAACAGTATGTATCCACAATCCCGACACGTGGGATTTGAACCCAGGACCTATCAGTCACAAGCACGAACGCTTAACTTGTACACCATTGAACCAGCTAGTATCCGGTGATGTTTATGTCTAACTTCGGATCATAATAACTATCTTTTGTGTTCATTTGTTATTATGATAATACTTAGTTTTTATAAGTTATTAATAAATCCACTTAATGATTCGAAACGAATGATTGAGTCATTTGTAAAAGCTGAAATCCAAAGAAAAGCTTTGTGAGTAAAATGGTGTTATTCGTATGTTATATGCTTTATTTCATGAGATGAGCCATTTACATACTCTAATTGACAAACAAAGTGGGGAGTGTTACCTGCCATAGACATATGAAGGTAGTTTACAGAAACTATACACCAAAAATTAAGTAATATTCAGTAACTGTGTTAAACACAACAATGCCAGTTACCAAATTTAAACAAGAACTATACGCACCAAATGTCGAAATTATCTACAATTGATTGGTTATTGGGCGATAATCAATGTCATGTATGTCAGGTGCTTTCTTTAGTGAAGATCGAATCCTATCGACCAAGTTGGAATGTGGCTACTAGTCTAGGTGACTTGACATTACGAGCACTATGTTGAGATCAAAAATGAATATAAACCAGTGGAAATGAGAATGAGAATGCAATCACATAAATAATTAATAAATTTCATAGATTCATCCATATACTTTGACGTTTTACGTAAGATAACCAATGAACACTACGAGCAGTAAGCCCAAAAATGATTGTCGATAAACTAAACTACTGATTATTAGTAAGTAGCACAATGATACATGCAAAAAAACTGAATAAGAAAGGTGAAAGGAAAGATCAAATAGAATAAACAATTACGATTAATATCAGAAGGGGTTTTGTGGATATTATTAGTCATTTTAATAGTTGAGATCATGAATCAATTGAAGTTAGACCACCACGGAAAACATGGGGGCACTAGACGGCTGTTTCATCCAAAATAACTATAAATACGAATGTACAGTTTATATAAATGATTTCATCGAGAAGAGATAACTTTCTTCACTGAATTCTGTTTATTTTTATTCAATGACATTGAGAGATGTTTGAGTGATATCGCGAATTGATTAATGTTCAACAATATAAACCATAGGATATTGATCTACACTTACTTACTTACTTACTTACTTACTTACTTACTTACTTACTTACTTACTTACTTACTTACTTACTTACTTACTTACTTACTTACTTACTTACGCACTTACTTACTTACTTACGCACTTACTTACTTACGCACTTACTTACTTACTTACTTCTTAGCGTCTTTTTAGTGATTTAGTTTTCTACGGGATGAGGTCTCTAACCTTATTCCCAACCCTCCTCCTCTATCCGGTCTTGGGACTGGTACTAGCCCCATGGGGGCTTCAGGTGAACTTATCGGTTGCATGTAACCTTAAATATAATGATTTTTGTAATGAACTTCCTCACATATCTATGGTTTATGAGATACTTGTCCAAAATAAGCGATTCCTCATTTATTTCACTATTTGAGCATAATATCCTAACTCTATTGAATAGCATTTTAACTAGATACCTTCTGTAATTGATAGAAGATAATTTGTTAAAGTTGAAATACTGTCCTATTTATGTCTCGTTCCTGTTTATACTTTTATAAAGACTTACATTCAAGTCAATAAAATTGAATTGGTTATTTCTTCCCTATTCGCACTGTAAATGTTATGTTATAATGAGGGTTGTTGAAATGACTAAGTAACCAAGAAAAGCATGATCCATCTCATCACAAATAATGAATGTATCATCAACATATCTGGAGTAGTATGTTGTATTCTGAATTTCATGTTTTAGTTGAGTATGTTCAAGATTAACTATAAAAAATATCTTCCAAGATATGCTCTAGTGATGACCTCATGGTTACTCCATCAGTTTACCGATTGCTGAATAACTTCTCAATAATGAACATGATGTGAACATAAATGATGCATTAGACAAAAAACACCAATCTTACTTTTTTGAGAAGCTTACTTACTTTCTTTCGCCTAATACTCCTAGTGGAGCATAGGCTGCCGACTAGCATCCTCCAACCCATTCTGTTCTACGCCTTCCTTTCTAATTCTATCTAATTGTTGTTCATTTTTCTCATGTTAGTCTCCATTTCTCGGCGTAAGGTGTTCCTCTTCTCCTTTAACTTTTGAGGATTCCAAGTGAGGGCTTACCTTGTGATGTAGTTGGGTGCTTTCCTCAATATGTGTCCTATCAAACGTTTTAGACTTGAATTATGTATATAGAAGAAAATATTCGATTAGCCTCTACCTGCTATAGCAATCAGATATTCATCTAATAATCTTTGTTAATTTGAATGCTTTTTTCAACTCTGTTATCAAGATTTTCACTTGATGTTCATCTCTTACGTTAACTGATTGATTATTACATATTTCTTTATTTTATCTACAAATTGATCGATCAGCAAGTTGTACTTGAATTCTCGGAGTTCTAGTGAGAAGCCGTGACCAATGGAGCTAATCCGTGTCGGGTAGAGACAGGTATCTACCTCAGTACAATAGAAGATGATCGCGCAATTTAATGGATTGGTTGATGTTAGACACTAACACCATTGGATGCCGGCTCAGTGGTCCAGTAGGTTAAGCGTTCGCGCGCGAGACTGGAGGCCCTGGATTCGAATCGCGCGAGCAGGATCGTGGATGCGCAATGCTGAGGAGTCCCATACTAGGACGAAACGACCGTCCAGTGCTTCCAGGTTTCCTACGGTGGTCTAACATCAGTCGATTCATGATCTCAATCAAAAAATCTTGCAGGAACTGATGCTCCCTAACGGATTCAATCCCGTGTCATCCAGCTTACACAGTCAGAGATGTTACCACTGGGTTGGGATCAATGTGATATGTGTCAGGTCCTTCTTAGCACAGATTAAATCCTATCAACCATGTTGTATTATGGCCACTAGTTTAGGTGACTCTATATTGCGTTCAGTATGTTGAGTTAAGATGGCACTGACATTGATCACCACCCAGTGGTAACATATCTGACTGTGTAAGCTGGATAACAGGGGATCGATCCGCTAGGGAGCACCAGCTCCCTCAAGATTACAGATACATCTTGCTGATGAGTGCTAAATAGCATGAAACCTGGGTCTAGGGTTACCTGTTAACTACCTCCAACCACCATCTTATTTATTTTATCATATTGAGCAATTACCCAATTACTTGTTTATTTCAATACATTTACATAACCTCTTAATTATTACTTCCCAACATATAAATCCATATCGAACTTGACTATATTTATCCATAAACTTTATATCCCTATTCGTTTGATTACTGTAATGTATTAATTCATTTGGTATGGTTTTACTTGAACCTTCCCATTGATGTTTGGGACTGAAATTGATCAGTCTCTTATTGGCATATGTGCATACTGTGCGTATTGCCTCGATATTACCTTAATTTACAAGCATTATGAGCAAAGATGGATAGTGGCTAGAAGTGGGTTCAAGTCTCAGAGTGAACATCAACTCTGAGATGTAGGTACATCCAGCTGACGAGTTTCAAATAGGACGAAACGCGCGTCCTGAATTCCACTGCTAGCCACTATCCATCTTTGCTTATAATGTATTCAGCGGATGAGTCCTAAATAGGATGAAACGCACATCCTGGATTCCCATGGTTACCTACAATCACCTCTGTCAATTATGATTGTATAAAGGTTTCAATTTGTTTCTTATTAATCCGTATAATCGATTATTGGTTTTGCTCCCTGTTTTTTCTGTGAAATGTTTCCTTTTTTTCCTAGTAGTTACTTAACAGAAGATAAACAATTGCATGATTCAAATTCAATTACTAAACATTTATCATTGATTAACCGAGATTGTTCACATGATGCGAAATGTTTCATTTCATTGATAAAAATTCCTGATGAATCATGTAAAGAAATTGACGAAACCAATATGAGAAAAAGAATAAATCCTATTCAACTATGTATTACATCATCATTACCTATAATGAATCCATATAAACATGATTATGGTGAAATTATTTATCCAGCTGATAGATTGAAATTATCAAACTTACAAATGATTGTTAAAGATAAAGAGGTAAGGTGAAATGAATAATCTTCTTCTACAATGTAGGATTAGGCACATATATGCATCGATCCAAGTTACCACACCTTATTAGCACAACATGGTGAACACCAAATTCATAGAAGTAGTCATATCAATCTTAGTAATACATAAAAGAAAGATTGCATATAAGGATATAGTACATGAAGAAAAAACTAGTTTGTAGGAGGAAAGATATGAAGCAATTTTAATCTCTTAGTTTAAAGGAAGACAGAGAGTGTATACACCTACACAATTGTGATTGATCCTGAGCCATGTCACCAAGAGTCTCCAACCATTGGTTACAATAGTCACACGGACCCCAACCAGGTAGTCTGCATCTACCAGCATAGCTAAGACTAGAAGTTAGTTACTTTGTGGACTGATGTTACGTTTTGATTTGGCCACGTCTAACTTTCTTTCAAATGTCTCCAATACTAGTCAGCATAACACGTCGTGTTAATCGATGTTCAGGCATACGCAACACGTGACCCAACCATCTCAGATGATGAAGATTTACAACTTCATCAACTGATTTGCTATCATTCTCTAATGCCCTGCGTCTAAACTCACGAATACTTATCTGGTGATCCTGGCAGATGCGAACAATATTTTTAAGGTATCTGTGGTCAAATAGTAGTAGCTTCTACTCTTAATGGCCGCGTTTCGCAGCCGTAAAGTAGAACAGTTTACTCATTCCTTAAGTGATAGACCGATATCTCGCCTTCGTTACAGGTGACGTAAGTTGGTAAAAGTCAAACGAGCTTTCTGAATACGTGCAGAGATTTCGTCAGATACCAACCCATTAGGGCTGATCAGACTTGTCTATGCGTTCGACTACTTCACTCCCTATCCTTAGTTCATGTGTTGACAAAAGACAGTGTAAAATAAAGTTGATGGCTCCGTTGCAAACTATGATGGACTTGGAAATCATAGAAAACTAGATGAGATGATAGACCTGTTTCGTTATAACATGGGACTCATCAGAAGAAGGTACTCGCAATCATACTGATCGACTGAATCCATGATATTCACTCTCCATTGCTATTGTTTTACAGTTTAGACCACTAACCTTAGATTCAATATCTTTAACTCAGCTGATTCTCTCATGACATAGTTGAACTTCATCAGTCATAACTCGATAGAACTTTGAGAATATGCAAACTTCTATGACACAATTAAGAATATAATCTTCAAGGATACTTAAATTTTACAGTGAGCACAATATCAACCCGCTGTAGAGCTAAAACTTCATGACCTATGGTTTTGACTTTGGCATCATACTGAGTTACAAAGAAATTTACATACAGAATGTTTTAAAAAGTTTTGAAAAACTTTAGAAAACACTGAAATCATTAGGATACTTTACTTATAGTCTATCCTTTGAAGAAGCAAGCTGACGAAAATATATTTTAGTTCTAACGTCCTACAAACAACATGTGGAAAATGATAATTGTGTTACCTTGCTTACGAATGTTCCTCTCAATAAAGCATAGGCTGCCAGAAGCCCCTCTGGGACTACTGTTGATCGATAAAGATATACGAGAATAATCAGGACGTATATTTCGACAGTAATCACATTCGATAACGGTGATTTGTCCGATCTGATTGAAGTTAGATGAGAAGCAACAAACATTATTCGATTGTTGACTACAATTCATATAAACGATAACTTTCTTTTTTGAATTTCGTTACGTACTGAATTTAGCTTTTTAGTTTCATTGATACACTCACCAATTGATTTCACTTTGATTTCTTACTTTCCATAGATGGATTCGTCAGAAAATGATGCTGATTTTTAGTGATCATTTAGCTACCTACTTAATTTTTATTTAAGTAGTATTCTGAGTTTACTCAAAAGAAATATTGTGCAGTTTGTAATTTCTTATTTTTATACTAAATTTAATAGTAAAATTGTTAGTTATTTCACTTATCATAGTAATTTATCTAATTAGTGATCAGACCTATGATCAGAAAATAAATTGTATATTTGAATTTGATCTTGTTTTGAATGAGAATTGACTGATTACAGTCACTGTTTTGAGTATTGGTCAAATGGAGAAATCGATTAGAGTAAATCACTAATGTAGATGATCTATGTCAAATAATTGAAGGCCTAGTCCAGTTAGAGAAGAGTGGTGTTACCGGAAGTTAACTCCGTAGTCACACCTCCCGGTCAGCACGTAACGTAGATTACCCCTTCGACATATCAAGGTATTATGGCTGTTTTGAAGACCGTATAATACAAAAGATGTTATTACGGAAATATATATATTAGTACAGAGAAGATAGTAGGACCACCACTGTATGGATCAGTCCATGATATACGATTAATTAATACACGTTGGTTATCCTTGAACTTGAAGAGGATCTATGAACTGTTCGACATTCAGTGACCCAACTGCCAGTTAGGACTCAGTGAAATTTCACCTATAAGTTGGTAATTATCTTAATGTAGATAATAATATGGTTCAGTGTTTTGAAACATCTGCGAATTATCAAGTAGAAGCTTGAATATACAGTGAAAAGAGGAATCATAAGAAACATCAATTTCGTTTGAGATAATGTAGAGCAAGTGAATGATTTTAATAAAGTTTTGTTCTTTGGGCTGGATGGTTTAGTCATGGAGCTTTCATCATTCTTCTGAACGACATCATTATCAGCACAAAGTTTAGATAGAAGTGAACTTTGTATCAATGAAAGTTTCTTAATTTTTACGATCATTATCCTTGTTAACTTACTTTTACAGGTCTTTTCTAGCATTACTTAAGCTAGTTAGAATAGTTTAATGTAACAGTTTAGTTGTTTGAAGCCTACACTACAGTTCACATCAATTGAAGATTTAGATCATTTAATTTCATCGTTTAAACCATGAACTCACTTTAACTAGACAATCATGAAAAGCCAGGAAACATTGAATAGATATTTCATTCTAGTATACGATTCTTCACTGAATGATAACCCAATGGTTTAAAGGTTAAATACATGCTACAGAATGATGGATTCAATTTATGATGAAGTTGTGGATACCTACTACTGAGGTGTCTCATACAAGGACGAAATAGATCTTCTGTGTTTCGTACTCCTAAATGGTTATCTCATTAAAATCGATCCATAGAAATAGTTTATATTAATGGTAATAATAACAATGGTAATAACAGTGATAGTCTATAGTAATCTAGTGATTGTAAGTATATCGTATGTTGAAGAATGATCAATTTAAAGTAACCTCAAATTGTAAATTGTTATATAGTGAACAACCATGAAGGCAGAAATAAGAGCTTTAATTAATGATAAGAGCTGTCAGGATATTACATAATAGCCCTGATTTTCATAGAAGACATATTGTCCTGTTTTATTCTACAGTGTACATCAGTTAGCAATTATTTAAACACATAAACATTGGTACAAGGAGGCTGAGATATTGCCTGAGTGTCGAAACCGAAATAGGTGGTTTTCTTAATGGGACACACCCTAAGCCTTCGACCTAAAGGTCTAATCCACAAGACAGTGGAGCAACGTCAGGAGATGCAGTTTCATGGTAGTCGGTGACCAACAATGGATTAATACACCATTTATTTCCTTAGGATCATGGAGATTATGTACACTATTGGTTTGAAATGAGGGTTTTGCAGCTCCTCCAGATGGATTCTCCGCTTCCACCAACCTGGTTAAAGCATTGTGCATTTCCTTGTCGTCCTCTCACTTTCGTAAACAACAGTAATGCCATGAGAAGGCAGTGAGTAGGATTACCTTGTCAGTGATTGTATTCACGTAATCGTATGAGAGCGTTTGGAGAGGAATAGCTGGCTCTCCACACTCTCGGCCATACCAGGGCATTTGAGGGCATGAATATATAGATATGAATATATGTCTAATCATATTAGTTTATGTAAAGAATTCAGTCAAGTGACAATTACTAATAAGGAAAAATATACTGTGAACATAATAAAATATGGAATCTCGTGGTTCTTTAATGAAATGATAAGTGGATCAATCAGTCAGCTACAATGTAGGACCAGGCATATATATACATCGGTCCAAGTTGCAATACCTCATTAGCACAACAAGATGATCAATCAGTTCATAGAAGTAACTACTTCAATGGTGATAATCTATAAAATAAAGATTGTGTATAAGGATATAACACAGAAAGAAAGAAAAGTAGAAAGTAATTCAAATCTCACGATTCAAGGGAAGACACAGAGTGTATACACCTATGCTATTGTGATAGATAGATAGATAAGTAGCCTAGAGTCCAACAGTTCGAATCTTGTTTTCTATTTTTATCGTATACTTTCTATTCAAAGTAATTGTTGTTTAATACTTAACACTTGTTATTATTTGAATGAAATAATTGTCAGTTCTCATCTGTGGGCATCAACAATCCCGCTCACGGAATTCAAACCGAAAACCATGGAACCATATGGTGATTAACCACTAAACCACTGATCCGAGACTGAATACAATATTGGATGCTTGCGCAATTTTGTGGATTGGTTGAAGTTAGTCATCAACACCATTAGATGCCAGCTCTGTGATCTACAGTTTAAACGCACGTACACAACACCAAAATCCTGAGTTCGAGTCCCTGGAGTCAGATCGTGGATACGTACTTCTGAGAAGTCCCATACTAGGATGAAACGACTGTTTAACACTTCTACGTTTCCACAATTGATTGATCACTGGATGACCAATGTCATGCGTGTCTAGTCCTTATTATTAGTGCAGATCGAATGCTATCGATCATGTTGCAATGTGGCCACCAGTCTAGGTGACTGGACACCGCGGGCACTATTGTAAGATTGGATGGTGGTTGGAGGTAGTCGACAGGAAACCCTGCACCCGGGTTTCGTGCTACTTGGCACTCGTCAGCAAGGTGTACCTGTAATCTTTGAGGAAACTGGTGCTCCCTGGCGGATTCGATCCCGTGTCACCCAGCTTCACAGTCAGAGACGTTACCACTGAGCTATCCGCAGCGCACTAATATTAAGGACTAGACACGCATGACATTGATCACCCAGTGATCAATCAATTGTAATAACATGTCAGTCCTACAGGAAGTCGGTCGCGGTCCGGATAGATCAGCGGTAACGTCTCTGACTAAGAAGCTGGGTGACACGGTGGTCGAATCCGTCAGGGAGCATCGGTTCCCTCAAAGATTACAGATACACCTTGCTGACGAGTGCCAAGTAGCACGAAACCCGGGTCCAGGGTTTCCTGTCGACCACCTCAAACCACCATCTAACTTCTAGGTTTTTCATGGTGTTCTAACTTTACTTGATTCATGAATTTATCTATTAAACAAATTACTATAATATCCACAATCGCTTCCCCCCACCCACCCCACCTCCTCTCTTTCTGATAATAATTCAATTGAGAACACAAAGAGTTCTAAGCTTTATTGAATAATTATGTAATACAAATAAAATAATATATAAACGATTTATTCTTAAATTTTCCCTCACTCCCACCCCACCCCACCCATTAAAAAACGTGATTTCATGACAGATCAACATTATAATGTAAGTTATAAGGTAACATAAATTATTGAACATTATTGCATTATTGAATTGAATCCCGTTTAAGAAACATATCCATCCTCATCCTCCTTCTCCTCCTCCTCCTCATCATCATCATCATCATCATCATCATCATTATGACTATGATCATATAAATTGATCTCTTATCATAATGATCTCGTGTTAGGATAATGTCATTGTATGACATATCTTATCAGTAGACTAATGATGATTAGTTGATCATTATTCTCCTATTCATAATGATGATAATAATAATGATGATCATGATCATGATGATGATCCTGATCATGATGATCATGATGCCATGATTTTAATCTATCTATAATATGTAAATATAATATAAATAATAGTTTCATTTCATGTTGTATACTGAATATTTATAATATAAATTATCTCATGTAATAATTCAATACAATTATTATGATTATCAATGATATTAAATATTAATATATTGATTAATTACCCAATTAATTGATTGATTGATTGATTGAATGAATGATTGATCAATAGACTATATGTGTGCCCTATTTATTCAAGAATATCTATCAATTGGTCATTTACTCTTTTATAGACATGTATAATTAGTTAGTTCGATATATTAAGTAGACGTGTATCATTTACATTTGAAACGTTTTCAATTTCATCCTATAAACAATATTGTTAAACAGTTAGGGATATTTGATTAAAAGAGAAAGTGATGTTAGACACAAACACCATTGGATACCGGATCAGTGATCCAGTAGGTTAAACGTTCACGTGTGAGACTGAAGGCTCTGGGTTCGAATCCCGCAGGTAGCGGGATCGTGGGTGCACACTGCAAATGAGGTGTCCCATACTAGGACGAAACGGCCGTTCAGTGCTTTCAGGTTTCCAACGGTAGTCTAACATCAGTCGATTCATGATCTGAATCCAAAATAATAACTCCGTCTGAAGCCTATATGGAACTACTGTCGGTCACAAGCCCAGATATAAGAGGTGGGTTGGATATGGGGTTACCAACCCTATTCCATAGAATACTAACTCGTTAAAAAAAAGCGCTAACAAGAAAAAATAATTCAAACCTATTTGATAATAGTTAACAAGGGATATTTTCAAATTTGTGGGGGTTGAGCTATGAATTCATGTCATGGAATGAAAGAAGCATTATCATCGAAGTATTCACCGATTTATAAGATTCAATTGAAGAACATATAGAACTCAAAACAGCTTTTAAGAAATATCAAAGTCATGATCTTCAATACGAACTTCAAGGCAGTTCTACTGTACGGAGCTGAAATTGGAGAGCTACCACAACTATCATCAAGAAAGTACAAGTATTTATCAATAGCTGTCTACGCAAGATACTCAACATCCACTGGCCGGATACCATCAGCAACAGCCTACTATAGGAGAGAACAAACCAGCTTCCAACTGAAGAGGAAATTAGGAAAAGAAAATAGAAATGGATAGGAC